GTGCAGGGGAGGTCACAACCACAAATACTCATATGGCTATCCCAGTGAGCCTAGGTACAACCATCAGAAAGAAGAGGAAGGGGCCAGGGAAAGCCAGACGCAGAACACGACCAACTTAAAGGCCTTCAATGCTAACTTCTTCTTCTTTCATTCCTCATACTTTCATTTCCACAGCACAATTGATACAGACATCACACAGGAGTACCTCCAAGAAGAAAAAAGCCCACACTTCATTCCACCCGCTCACATGCTCTCCTAAGACGTCATGGCAGAAACCCCAACCAGTGCAGAAAGGTTTACTAAAACCATAAATAACTTCGTTAACATCTGGTGCTTTCAGAAAGCGTCCTATAAAACATAACACTGGTGCTGCTACCATATACTAGTACACATAGAAGAGATGTTTCATACCTGTCTTTCTCCAAAGGACATCCCAAGGACATTAAAAAAGCCTTCTATATAGGAAATAATGCTTCCATACACAACACAGCTTCTAGGAGATCCAGCATCCTGTTTAAAAAACACTCAAAAGAGATTGTCCAGTCAATACATATTACAGAACTCAGCATCTTTCTGGAGCCTAATCCACAAGGGAAAAATATTACTAATTATATAGATCTACCTCCACCAGTAACACCTGCCCAGATGGGAACTTTTACAGAGATATAAAAGCACCTCACAACACAAAGGGAAAAGATTTAAGTAAACGGGGGAGGGGAAGAGCTTATTACGAGCACACAGTGAAGAGAAGAGATGTGTGAAGCTGCCACACATTACATGCACGCAATAAATTAGACCTAAAAATAGCACTTCTGGGCATGAAAGGGCTGTGTATATGAAAACAAAATAAAAGAACAAAATCTCAGCTTCAAGGGCACCTATAAAATAAATTATTAAAAAAAAAACCAACCCTTAATCCTTTTTTGAGTGTCTTATTGATTCAAGCAACATGAAGACTGCTTTGAGACAGCTTACGGCATTTTGTCATGCCTCAATAGCACCAGAAACCACCACCAGCAGCGACAGAACAGTGTTTTTAAGAACACATGTATTTCTTTCTTGCCTCTGTATTTATTTAACAGAGAAAAAAAATTAAATCAAGATTAAATGATAGACTGAGAAGCAATTTAAGGGACTAATCCTTACCAAAAAAGTCATGACATACAAAACCAAATTAGCACCTGATACTGGTTTTATCAGACATCTCCATTAAAGCCTGAGATAAGTAACAACCTAAAATTTGCAAAAGTTCTGAACTGGAGGGAGCTGAAGCAGACCACTGAGGGAAAGAAATGGAAACATGCCACCTAAGGTAAGAATGGCAAGAAGGTTAAAGAGAGGAACGAGTAGTTATGTTTATGTGAATTTACAGTTCTTAAAACTATGCGCAGTCAGCAAGAGGTAACGCTCAGACAGCTGGGTTGCACCCAGAAAAGCTCCACCACCGCAACCAGAAACCTGAGTCAGCTGCCCCGCAAATATCCCATCCAATTCTCAACAAAATGACCAACAGAAGGAATTCAGGGGAAACAAGCAGCCACTGGCAAAATAAGGCTACTTCTATTTAGAAGTGTTAACGCTGTTATGGACCCCTGCTGAAAAACTGGTTTGGGTCAGGGATTTGCTCAGAGTAATTTTGTAAAGATAAGGTTAAGGACAGAATTTAAAGCCAGCACCAAAAGGGCCAGGAGGGCAGCAGGACTTCTAGACCACCAGGCTAATTCTCTCTTAAAATGAGTTATTACTACACACTCAACATTTTACAGCACAAACACAGTGGAAGCGATGACACGAGCAATCAAGGAGCACAGCAATAAGGCTGAGCTGCTCACCTTGAGCAAGAAAGGGAGTTGTTGGTAAAAGGAGACCCAGAAGTGCTTCAGACTGTGTTTACTGCTCACGCCCTTACCAGACACCTCCTTTGTGTCAACATCGAGAAACCTTAACAGAGTCTCAATTTGCCAAAAGCCATCTGAAGATGGACTCATGCAAGCGTGCTGAGGCCACAGTTATAATTTGCTGACAGCAGAAGCCACTCAGTCCCCAAAGCTGAACTCACCACGACTGCCCCATGCACCTGGGACTGCCTGCCAAAGTCCCTGCAGCAACCACCACCCCCCATTTCCTAATTGAGGTTGATTTCTGTGCATGGGTATTAAGCAAAGAAGCAGAGTAAGAACATAAAGCCAGCACTAAAATTAGCAGCATGCCACAATGGCTTCAGGCCTTTCAAAAAACCTTAGGTATAAATAATGTAGGGTAGCAGGAAAGAAACATCCTTTGGACACAAGGAAGCACAAAACAATAGCCGAAGACAATTCCTGTGATACGGTCAGGACAAATGGGCACCATTAAGGTCAACAATTTACAGAGCTTTGTTTCTGCCGGTTTCTTATGTGAACAATAAACTAATCTGTCTGCATTAAACAGTAGGACAGTGGACAGCTGTCATTTTCTGATCTCTGTATCCTAATGGGTTACCTTAGTAACAGCCTTAAGCTGTCTGTTGCCATGGTGAATGAGGTCCATAATTGCTGCAACAGCCCTGGAGGTGTCAAAGTCATCTGCAAACGCAGCCTTCACGGTTACTTTTGTGTTGGCTAGCCTTCAAGAAGAAAAGGTAACGTTTAAGATAAGACAAACAAGATGCCAGCAGTAGGCTGAATTCATCAGTTATTCAGCCAGAGGGAGTCATCGAAAGGACACTGTCATTTCCTTGCTAGCTGTCCTATGATGGACAATGCTACACTGATCAGGGAGAATACATCTTCCAGCTGTGAAGGGAAAAACTTGATGCATGTCAAAACCCAAAGTGCTACATCCGTTCAATAAATACATGGTTAATCACAGGAGCCAACAGTGGCAGAGCAAGGCTTGCCTTACTCATTTAAACACAGATGGAAAATGAGGTTGATATTAAGCACATTAAAGATTTTGCTAAGTTCTTTTTTTTCCAGCAGCCCATTTTTTCATGCTAACAGCATGCTTATCTCCCAAAGCCACATCACATGCATCCCTCCGGCGCCTGGCAAGAGAGCTGACTTGGGGTCGCTCAGGAGTCCCATTGGCAGGATCCAGCTCAAAAGCAGGCACTACTTCCTCATCTCCCAGGCAAGCCTGACCCCAGCCCCAGGACTCTACTCAGCTTGGCCCGGACAGAAAGGTCTGGTGGGACCATCATGTAACAGTGCCAAAAGCCAGCGGGCAACCAGCACTCATCACTGCAGAACCAGTGCTGCCCACTGCTGCGAGCAAGAGGAGGATCCAGACAGCAGCAGGAATAAATGGCGAGCTGCAAACAGCTGCTGGTGGCTGCTCTTGCACACAGCCAGGTGAACCAGACCTCAACAGCAATAGGCAAACTGGACCCAAGGATGCCATTTCACAATGAAGCTCAGGGAGCAAGGTGACCTAGGGAACCTCAAGCTTTCCTAGCACCTCTGGGGCTCTCCTGAACCCTGCTTTCCTGGTTTCTGAGTAGTTTTGCCTGCCATGCCTGCCTCCCCTCAGATATCAGATGGCTGCTGCCCTAACTCATTCCTCCCAACATTCTTGCCTGCAAGCTTCCCTTTCTCCTCTTTCATAATTAAGAACTTCACAAGTTGTGCCCTCCCACATGTCCCCCTGCTGACAATCCATTTCAACTTCCTTACACACCTCACATCTCTCAGACTTATCTCTCACCAACAGGCCTCCTGCAGCCTTCTGCTGAAGGACTTGCTTTTGCCAAATACCACAACTAGCTAATTCAACTCCATTTCCCTGTAACACGTTCCAGTGCCCCTTGCAAGCCTTAGTCTGTGCAGCCGCAAGCTCCCAACAGCAAGATGCCCACACTCTCACCTTTACAGCATAGGCCATTTCCCCTCTGATCCTACATCCCAGAGCTGCCCGCACATAGATCGCTTTAGGGCACTCAACATCCCTCCTTATCCTGACTCCAGAGTACTGGGCTTTGTATTCTCAGCTTTGCACCCAACACACAGCACGTCTCTCTCTCTCTCTCTCTCTCCTGGAAGATGATCTGGTTTTCCTAAGGGACTCCAAAGGAGATTCTCTTTGTCACTGTCAGAGTCACAACCATAATTTTGTCTCTCCCTCTGACATCTCTGCCCCATGCCAGTTCCTTAGCAATCCCTTCTCTCCTCTGCTGCATGCCACAGTGCCAGCCAGCTTGATTACAGGCTCACATGCCCAAGGTGTGTTACTTCCCATTCGTCATCTTTCTTTTTCAGTCATTAATGTACAATTCTACTTACAAACTGGGCAGCCTCACAACTTCAGTCATAGCTCTGCCTTCTATACCACTCAAGAAGGGCAAAGGTGCCTGTGTTAGGAAGGCACGCTAGATAAATAACATGGATTTTAAAAATACAATGAATTAAGTGGAGCAGACTGCAAGGAAAAGCAGCTGACTAGAAAAAGAAGAAAAAAAAAAAAAGCTGCCCCTGGTGAGGGCTAGCAGGGAAGACTGCTTCTCAGTCCTCCTTGTCCTGCTTCTTAAACAAAACTCAGAACGCTATACTGCTCAGCCCTCTGAGCCTGTTGCAAAATATTGCTCACATAATCACAATCTTTAAGATACAGGATGCACACTTACCTTTCCCACAGTATGTCTTCTCTAACAGGGTCACATACCAGCTGTCCTTTTATATAAGCATCTGCATCTCTAATAAATGAGGAGACTGCTTGAAGAAGGTGCTTTGCATCATCCATGCTCTCATCACTAAATTCTATTGCTAAGAAAAAAATATTATTTGGGCATTAGGATAGAGAGGATGTTGCCTGTCATACATAGGAATGACATTCTGAGACCAAGTCATTCCAGGAAAAGTTTATTATTATTTCTCATAGCAAACTTTTCTTACAATTAATTGCACATTTCATAAAAAATTCTTTTTTTCATGAGCACTAGGTGAATTAAACCAATATAAAAGACAACCATTACATATGACAAAGTATAACCTACTAGAGAGGTATCAGACTGATTCAAAAAGTGTCTGGAAGCTAACTGAAGCAATAGCTACTTGACTTTTTTTTTTTCCCCATTATTGAATCTCACTGTGAAGTTATTACTCCAAAGCATTTAGACTGGATATATTTCTAAGCATCCCCTCCCGGATTTAAGTTGGCAAGACATACCTTTGATCTCACCTCTAATTTTGTTCCTATTCTGATTTAGGTAGACACAAACTGTATTTGGAGACCTCCAAGAGACCTAACCCTCATCACTGACTGTGAGGAATACAGGCACTTACAGTTAAAGGGCTGCTTCAACAGCACCTAAAATCTAAACGGATCTAAAATTTTGCAGTCTAGATTCTGTACTAGATATACAATTCCCTCACACTATCAAAGCTAAATTGACCATATCAAAGGTGACTATTATAGAAAATATAAATTGCTTAAACTCATAAGGGCATGTCTGGGATGGGATTCATCACACCCAACTTACACCCATCTAAACCTCTTACAGTCACCAGAAAGAAAGATAAAACCTTAACGTAAATAATTCATTGCATCCTAAGCAGAGCTCTGCTTTATGATGAGATCTCCTAACCGCACAGGCTTCTCTTCCACCAACTGGTAAGCCAACATTAGCCCCTGCACAAACATGACATCCGTGCACATGGACACCATCTCTGCACGCAGCAGGACTCCAGCTTCAGCAGGCAACTATGCTTTGGGAACTACCAGTGTCCACTTCTCTGGTGTAGGGTTAAGCAGGCTCCTCTCACCTTGCCTGCGCCCTGAGAAGCGCAGGTGCTGGACTGGCCCCACCACACTTACTGTGAGTTGCCATCAGCAGGAGGCAATTTTTTTATTTGCACAGTAATGCGCAATTTTCTGCAGAAGAGCACTCAGGCCCCACACAAGACAGCTTCCCAGTGGAAGTTGTGTCCATCAAGGACAGGCCTAAGTTTAAATGAACCCCTTTCCACAATATCACACCAGAGCTGATTACTTGAATCAAAGCACCATTTATAGTCAGTGCAGTACTGCTTCATTAATTTATGCCTGACCTGTGCACTAAGGTACATCCAAAGTACAGCTTGCAGCGTATTCCTAATATCAACAATAAGCATCGCGTGTATTTTCCACAGACATCTCACCCCTGGTCCCACGTACATCACAGCCAACTGCTTTGTGCAATTACCCCGTGCTGCCCAGACACATCTACTCTTTAAAGCAGGCAGTCTGAGCAAGGGAACAGATCTAAGAGGGCAGAAGCAGCCTGATCTCTGTTCCATTAGCCTAACTGTTTAAACAGACTTTCTGTAGGATTTATCCCAGTATAACTAAGGCATAAATCTGGACCTGTATTTGTCAGATTTTCTGCTTGTGTGAAATGAAAAATCTGCATTGCTGCCTCATTAAAATTAAGCTTTAAAAAAACCCCCAAACTACGTACAGACTTTTAGAAAACAGTGAGATCTTGAAAAAGATCATTTATATCCACTAAGACTACTCAACTGATTACCCTGGTTACAGGAACTCCACAAGGAATACTTGATGAAAGTTCATTCTTATGAAGCCCGCTTTGATTAAAGCCATTCTTCTTCCCCACTTCATGGCATTCTCTTAAACCACCGCCTGCAGGCACTGCAAACCCACAGCGTGGCACAGACAAGCTTGGCTCCATCAGTCTTTCACCATACTCCCTACTCCTTCCCTCCTTTGCCACTGAGGGCATCATCAAATTACAAAACATGTTTATTAGCACCAGGAAGTAATTGAAGACCAGAGGGACCAAAATGTTACACTTCACTTGGGTTCACAAAATCACTGAAGTGGTTCTGGTGACCAGGAGAGCATTCTGGGGACAGAGTCCCACTGCCTGAAGCAGGCTCACAGCCCCTCCACCTAACTGCATTAAGAAAAGCCCCTGCTGATGAGATGCAGGAGGAAAAGCAGTGTCTCATAACACAGTCTCATAGGGCCTCAAGAAGGTCCGGATCACCACCACTGTCCCCAGAGCTCAGCTCAACCCTGAGCAGATTTGCCCCACCAGCCTTGAGCAATGAGAGGGGGCAATGGAGCAGAGGGAGCCCCTGCAGAGACACGTTATAAAAGGGTGACGTTCTGCACCAAAATCTCTTCCCTCTGACTCTTCTCCTCTCCCCCACCAATGCAACCAGCATTATCCTCCCTGGGACAGTAACCCCACAGGAGGGGCACCTCCTGCCCCTGAAGTCATGTTTGTCCCCAGGTACCCATCTGCACACATACAGGCAGGGGGTAGTCCAGACCACAGGAATGGCCCATTCCGAGCCCAAGACTCATGTAAAACACGGCACCAAGCATGAGCCATTCCCAACCATCAGGCGTTGCCCTCATCCACATGCTTACGAAGATCTTTTACAGGCTCGATCCAATAAGCATGGTAACATCACCCAATCTCCCAAACCTGGATTTTATCTAATACAAAAGTCTCTCCTTCACAGGCAGGGATGGGAGGAACCATCACCAACAGGTTTAGGCTACAAAAAACATTTTAGGAACAAACAGAAAGTGCTTGGGATCTCACTTTAATAAAAATATTTAGAAAGCAGACAGCAAGACACAAAGGAGTGTAGTATTATCTTTAGACCAAAGTGAATAGAAAGCAGGGAGATAAACTGACAGGCTGCACAGTAAATACCTGGCTCAGCAGGGACTGACTCTGGCAGCAAATAACTGCACCCTACCTCATAAGGTGGAGGTGGCAAGCACAGCAGACCTTCAAGCAATCCTTATCTGCCAGCTGGTTTACTGGTACTATAGTCTGACATAACACCACCACAGCATTTCATCAAAGCCACATATATTTGCACAGGTAGCTCTGTTTTTATCACAGGAAGGTGTTTAACCTAGAAGTAAGGCCAAAAGAAGGGTCACATCCTTCTCGCAGAGGTCCAAATGCAGCCAGCTGACAGGCAGCAGACAAGGCACGAGGCAGCCCTGCTGCAGGTCTCCAGCGCCATTCCTTGCCCTGAGGCAAGCTTAGAAATTGCCAGCCATTTGGCTTGTTTTCAGGAAAAACATATACATGGTAGTGTTGTAGGGGTTAGCCTTTTTTCTTCTTTTGTTTTAAATACACATCTGTTTGAGACTCCCAAGTGCCCTCAGCTGCAGCTAGGGAGCCATTCATGTGTGCACAACCTATTTCATCTCCTAACAGAGACCCAGAGGAAACAGCCAGGTGTGTCACCATCCTGTAGCATCACCTCGAAACAGCCAGGCATGCCACCATCCCACCGCCTCAAGCGTGGCAGTGCTCCTCACTGCCTGTCCCCTCTTCTGCTCCCAATAGGGGCTTGCTTTGAAGCAGACCTTCCACCTGGATCCTCTCATGGTGGAGATGGCCGTTAATAACCAGCAGTCTCTTTAATGCCCCATGCTTCAGAATATTTCAGGGATATATGGCATTCCCAATGCATTCAGCTGCTTTAGGAGAGGGAGGCTCCACCAGGTAGAGGGTGGCTCCTGCAAGCAGCTAGAGGTATTAACAAGCAAAAAGCCTTCTCAGTCCAATGACTGCATGCTGACAGACACTAGCAAAGCCACAGAGCCTTAACCATGCCAGCTCTCCCAGTCACAGTGCTAGAGGTGCTTTATCTGAGGCAACTACGGGACCACTGAAGTAATGCGGCGAGTGTTGCCCTGTGCTCCACCATCCCCCTACCATGCCAAGACAGCCAACAAGCCAGATGACCCAGCAGTGGTTAGAGAATTATCATTTGCTTTTTGGCAGGCTGCAATAAACTGGTAAAAACTCTATTCGTATGAAAACCTCTTCCAGTTCAAAGTAGCATCTGTCTGCTGGAAACATCACATATAGAGAGGTGTCCTGGTTTTGGCTGGGATAGAGTTAATTTTCTTCCTAGTAGCTGGTACAGTGCTGTGTTTTGGATTTAGTGTGAGAATAATCTTGATAACACACCGATGTTCTAGTTGTTGCTAAGTAGCATTTATCCCAAGTTAAGGATTTTTCCATTTCCCATGCTCTGCCAGCAAGCAGGTGCACAAGAAGCTGGGAGGGAGCATGTCCAGGACAGCTGACTCAAACTAGCCACAGGGATATTCTATACCATAGGATATCATGCTCCATATATAAGCTGGTGAGAGTTGGCTGGGAGGGGCAGATCACTGCTCCGGCATCGGTCAGCGTGTAGTGAGCAGTTGCATTGTGCATCACTTGTCTTTTCATGGGTTTTATTTCTCTCTCTTTTCATTATCTTCCTTTTCATTACTGTTATTATATTTTGTTATTATTACATTTTATTTTAATTATCAAACTGTTCTTATCTCAACCTGCAACTTTTACTTTTTTCTTGGTTCTCCCCCCCCATCCCACTGGGAGGGGGAAGGAGTACGCGAGCGTTTGCGTGGTGCTTAGTTGTTGGCTGGGGTTAAACCATGGCAACAGGGGAGCTGACAACAGCTCCAACGCCTGTCCCCACCACCAGTTTGCCAGGCTAAGATGATCATTAGGTTGTCAGGTGCTGGTGTAAGCAAGCTGCACTGCACCACAGAACTGCTTGAACACTCAGTAACTCCATGGGACAAAAAATGATAACACAGCAGGGAGATAAAAAGTTATTAGCAAGCCCCTGTCATACCCTACAGGAATGTAAGGCAGAGCTCTATCTAGACACATCTCCAAAAACAGCTGATCGTGACTGAAATGTAAGTGACTGCAGCAGATGCAAATCAGATATGGAGGTAATTCATTAATTGAAGGTGCAATTAATTGAGAGTTGCAATTAACTGCATCTCAGGAAGGTATTTAGATGAATGGCTACATACTGTGCTCAGTAAAGATGCATTTCTAAGAGAAAGCCGAAGAGCAGCCCCACAGAGCACCACCAACCTTTCCACATACCAGAGGGGAAAGGTGAGGCACCATGGGGAGAGCCCACTACACCACTGCACCACTGTCCTGCCAGCTTGGCAAGCATGTGGGGAAGGCCGTGCATATCTCAACAAAAAAGGTAGGGTTTTTCCTTACCTGAGCTGTATCTGCTGCGCAAACAAAACATCCTGAATTGATCTGATGAAAATTTCTTCAAGAAATCCTAAACTCCATCCACAAAAAATACAGCTTTAGTTCTATATCAAACCCTTTCTTCAGTTGATCTACCCCCTTGCACTAGTTTCACATCTTATTTCAGACAAACTAACATGACAAATAACCCATCTTTGTAGTTTAAGATAATTTAAAGCTTTATGCTTATAACACTGGTTTAGAGTCTAAACTAAAAAAAAAATTCTAATTCCATATAAGATAGATGTGCATACATATATATACACAAAATATACACACAATGTAAACATAAGACAGTGAAAAGTACTTTGTAATTGTGATTAAACACACACTGTATAAAGACCTTTGCAAAAAACCCAAAATGAAATTACCAGACTAAGATTAGGATACAAATTTACAGGAAAGGACAGCAGAGTTTTGCAAACTTTATGAAAAACCAGAAAGGTTTCTTGAAAAAGAAAATAAGTGTACTTTTTCTACAGGACTAGAATATGAAGAAAAACAGAGAGCGAACAAAAATTTGTATTATTTTTTAAATATTCCTAAGAAGTTATTGGTGTTAATTATGAAATCTCATTAATTTCACCCTAATATTTATCTAGCTTTACAAATAATTTACTACAGTAAATAGTAAGTTATTAGTATTACTACTAGTGTAATTAATTTACACTAATAGTATAAAGAACTATTTAAATGCTTGGAAGGTACACTGATCAATCACTTCCAACTCTGCTCTCAGCAAGGCTGGACACTGTGGCACATTAACTGTGAACACTGCATTCCTGCTTTTTTTTTTTTATTCTGCAAATTGATGATGGTGTTTGTAACACTGAAGTGCCACTGAAATAGAAAATCATAAAGAAAAGTCAGCACATGTGAGAAAATATGGAAAGTGTCATCTGCTTAAAGATGCACATTTCGAAATTTAGCTTCTGCTACCAGACGAAACCAGCCTGAACACTGAAGGTAGCAGAGCGTCAGCAATGTGCTGCCTCTCGAGTGAAAATAGAAATAATTGAGGCAAATCAGGGCAAGCTAAATTAAGGAATAGACAATGATACTGCTTATTTTGGTGGGTGGGTTTTTTGGGGTTTATTTTAAAATCAACTCTATATAACTGCGTGTACCCAATGTGCCCAGAAGCTTTACTCTAATATATAGGAGATAGAATGAGTAAAGTACAGAAATAAATCCATATTTGGGAAAGGACTATCCAAACTGGAAAAAATAATTCTGTATTTTGTTAAAAACTGTACTGAGTAAGTATCACAGCTCTTTCAAAACAAGTCGATCAGTCATGCGTTATTGTAACATGCTTGATTTTGGGGACCAGAATTAATACTATTAAAGAAAAAAAACAAAAAAACCCAAAACAACAACAACAAAAAAGACCCAAACCCAGAAAAAAAATCAGAGAAGGGGAGACACGGGGGAGGGAAAACAGAGCAGCTGGATGCAGAAGATGCAGGGCGGTTGTGCGGAGGGTGATGGCCTGGAATGCAGACGGCTGCCAGCAGGACCAAGGGAAGGTCCTGGACAGGCCTCCCCTCTTTTGGAGCTGCATAAAAACTTCCATGTAGGGCTTAACTTTCAAAATGCAGGAAGGCTGTACAGGAAGGTTTTTCTTTCACTGGACTGAAAAATCGCTTACAGGGAAGGATTAATAGTTAGCTTGTTAGCTGTGTCTAAGGGCAGAAATTAAAAGCAAGGACTGACAAGGGAAGAAGGACAGGGCTTGAAGTTTTTGTTTTCTCAACACAAAGAAGTCCCACCACAGATGTGGAGGGGAATGTTTTTATACATTATTTTTAACTGCATGCATGGTGTTTGTGGTCATTTCTCCAGCCTGTCCACAACATCTGCTGAGATTTGGTAAATTTCTGTGAAAATTGTGAGCAACAGGTAAATATTCCTGGGGGATACAGGGCTTAGCTGTACCCAGACAACATCAGGAGAATTAAGAATAATGCAGCTCACATTGAACTCCATTTTAAAGGGATTTTAATTAAGCCTGCCAAGAGGGCAAAGGGGAACATATGTGCTGAAACAGCTTCTCAAGCTTCGTCTAAAGGAAAGAAATTACCCACTTTTAGCAATAGGTGTCAGCCACCACAGGAGCCACCCTAGTGACAAGCACAGCTGCATCCCACGTGCCTGGCAGAGAGACCCTGCTCTGGGCTACACCAAAAACTCTGGGACACAGTAAAACAGGACATATTGACATGGCTTGTGGGAACTAAAAGACAAAGTTCTGCGCATCAGCAAGGTCACAGTATAAAAATAAAGGGGAATACAAGAGACTGCTGGCATAGTGTGGTTACAGGACACCCAATAGCTTCCTGACAAAATGCTGACACTATGTCCCATTTTACCTAAAGCAGAACAAGGGAAAAATGTCTGCTCTTTTCTAAGTCCCAAAAGCATATGCACTGTTAAGAGCAGACAGATGAGAACCCATCACTGTATAACAGAACCATTTAGGTTGGAAAAGACCTTTGAGATTGGCGAGTCCAACCATAAACCTATAATGCAGAAGCCTGGTATTGAGCACAAATGCTGCTCCTACAAATGCTCTCAGCAAAGCAAGATCCATGTTATGAGCAAACCTTGAGTCTGGGTGGGTTTCCCACATCCAGATCCACAATAACAGGTACAACAGCACTAGAGAAACACTGACTCAGGTTTTTTGCTGCAGCATAAACACATAACCCAAAGTTTTCTCAAAAAAGGGCTGTGATTAGTATTTACGTATTAGAAACATACATTGCTTCAATTCACGGAAATCAATTACCTTAATTGTTACGTAGTTTTTTAATGACTTGGACATTTTTTCTTGACTTCCTTTAACATGCAAATGCCCTAGAACAACAAAAAAAAGATTAATCAGCATAAATGAGCATGATTCTGAATGGGGAGTGAATGGGAAAGACTGCACTGAGACACTGAAAACGCTGGAGGCAGCACATGCTGTAATGGATATGTGCCAACCATTCCAGTGCAACAGTTTTCAATAGCTTTGCCTACAGTCCTGCACACCTCTCCATACTCAACTTTCACCAAGTGAATTTTAAAATGCAGGAAAAGAAAAAATTAAAAAAAAAATAAAATCACCACCACAAAGAGAGACATTAATAAGGAAAAAAAACAGTCTCCCTGCTCAGAACTGATAATAAACTGATAAAAAAAAGTAAGCAAGCAAATACTTTTCAGTCTTCAGAGAAGTACTTTACCTGTTACTCTTGACTTTTCAGAGATGTTTTAAGACCTTTAAAGACTTTCTGGTGATCTCACATTACCATATTCTTGAAACTCAAACAATTTTCTGTAGTTATTACTTGCTGGTGGCTGTCACACTATTTTTTAATCCAAAAGTTTATTGTGCTGGTTCAAAATACCTTAGATATAAAATAATTTTTTTGAATACTCCCAATTTCTCCAGGCTTTGGGAGACTAAGAAAAAGAAGGGGTAGGGAGGGATGTATCTGTGATTCTTAGTTTGAATTAGCTTATTTTAAAATGCAATCTCTGAGCCTTTCTAGAGCTTTCAATAGCTGCATGGACCATTGGTTTGCAGGGCTGTGGTACAGAAAAAAGGCAGTAACTAATTATCTCCATCGCATTTAGGAGAGTATGTAGAGCTCGGCCTTCAGCAAAGTTCTGTTGAAGCAAGACAGGAAACAGGCAGTCTCAGGCTGTACGCTCCCAGGCCTCGTCCATGCTAGCCACAGCACCATCACTGATGGAAAACATCAATTATTCACAGCTCCAGATAGGTGTCGAACGCGTAGCCAATAAAAGACTACTCAGCATCATTTTGGAAATATTAGAAGCCTTAACTGGCTTCTCCTAATAAAAGAGTAATCTGGTAAGTTACTGAGCACCCACAACTAACATGTAATTTTCAGGCACTTCATGACCTGCAGAATCCAGCACTTAATCATATTTAGAGGCAGATTATTAAGCATGAATTTTTCTTACTCTTTCATATCACATCAGTGCTCTGTACTCTTTCAGATTTGGCAGTCCAGTGCTACCAATGGCTCAGAGTGCTCTGCAAGAACAACATATGATCATGCTTCTTTTTTTACAGGTTGTGGCAGAGGGGGCATTTCTTGCTCTGCAGCCCAAGCAGCTGTCTGAATTTTGTGCTACTCTGCACAGCACTGCTTTTGCAGCCTTACCTGGAACCACCTTCTCTTCCACAAACAGATAAAATCCCCATTACACTTGCCTGAATACAAAAGCAACACACTCAGGTCAGGTAAATGGACACAAAAAGTATCTGGTTTCACTTCTTCGCTATTTCTGACAATGATTCAAAGCAGCAGGGATTCTCCATAAAAAAAGGCTACCTGTGGTCCCATCCTGACCACCTGCAAATTTAAGTTTGCACAACACACTCTGTGGAGAGTAGGAAAGAAATCAAGAGATCTATTGGTAACAGATCCAGCTACAGCAGAAAATCTACAATCAAACCAAAATCCCATTTTCATCATATTTGTCCTGATTGCTGGCAGGCAAGGCCATTTTCACCACTGCACAGTTCAACTCAGGGCCTTCAATAAGAACATTCAGGCTGTCAGAGGCACCAGGCACCTGCAGCTCCTGCCACTCAGGTAAAACCCCACAGACAAATTTCTCTTGGAAGAAGGGAAAGAGCCTGGGTATGATTTTTTTTTTCTTTTGCAAAGGTGTCTAAATATTGACTTACTCAACTTCAGGCAGACAAGCTTAAAATAGTTTGATTGTGTTTTTCCTAACAAGGTACAGGTAACATCTGAATTTGAAATAATATTCCCCTTTAAGAGTTTCAACCACTTAGAGTGATTTCATTAAAGAATCACAAAGTACAAGGTTTTTCATAACTTTGGCTTGGCGCTCTTCCCAGAGTACAAGTAGTCTAAAAATAAAGTCCTTACAAGAAGATTTATCCCCAGTGCAGGGCTTTTCTTCCTCTAATGGGGATTGCTCCTCCAGTTCTGAGCCTGCTAAAATTCTGAAGTCTGTTACCAGAATAAATTGTTTCTGAAGCTGATTCATCTGCCCTAAATAATTCACACTATCATCCTCCAGCAAAATTTTTTGACTTAATGAATGTAATCTGTCAGCTCCTAGAGAACCTCAGTGTACAAATTGCCCTTGGAATTAAGTTCAGGGGGGTTTATTGTTGGTGGTGGTTTTGTTTTTTTTTTTTTTCAGAAAAATTGACTCCTCTTTAGTTAGTTAGTTTCAAAGAATATTTTCCCCTACAGTTTCAATTACAAGCTTAAAAAGTCAGATACAGTGGTTTTCAGCAGAAGGCTCTACCTGGCAGTAACCAATGCATCTCAGTGGAAGCACAGAGAATTCCCCAGCATTTCAGGAAGAAAACACACCCTGGAGGATGTGCCAACCTCTGGGTAATTGCTATTGATTTACAATAGGCTCTACACTGGGAACTGAAACTAGAATTCAATATTCATCCTGTACAGTAAAAATATATATAAAAAAAACCAACCCTCAAGTAATTCTCAGAGTGTACCACAGGCTTAACTCTGCAGCTCTCATACTCAGAGAAACAGCTCAAGGAGTTCACCAAGACATCTTGCACAAAGTACTGTTCAGAAAAAAAAAAAAAAAAAAAAAAAAAAAAAAAGAGACTGTAGGCTTGAACCTGACTTCAGCTGACCATTCAGAACCACCATTATTGCAACAGGAAGAACAAATTTAAAGGATTCCATCAACAGAAACAGCGCTAGTACCATCAGACAACAATGTAGTTCAAAGCACTGTACAGCACAAACTTCACAGAAGCACTGTCATGCAAAGTCAGCAAGGAGCAGTTCTACATAATGCCAGGCAGCATGGTATGCTGAAGACCAAGTAAGATACTTTTGAACAGTTTAGTCAAGCATAGCCAGCGAGGTCACTCCTGGGGGAAGAGACAATGTCTGTGACATATATGCACTACACCAGTACCGAGTCACTCACACTCCATAGGAAAGCAGAGAGATACTGAAGTTGGTCAGAGCACTAGAGAAGGTTAAGGGACCAGTGATGAGATTCAATGTCTTCACCTTCCTACAGAGCCAAAAGGCAAGTGACTTGGTCTTTATGTAGCTCATAGATGTCAGACCTCCTTGTCTCTACCCACCAGTAACCTCACTGGCCATGCCTGACCAGAGTAGACCAAAGCATCTGACTCAACTGGTCTGGAGCATGAATCATGGTTTTCATACCCATCACTGGACATAATGCTACTAATGGATAAAAGACAGCTTCTCAGGAGAATTTTAAAAGTTACAGGTACATGAAATGCATGTCCAGAACATCCAGTGGTCGGTTGCTGCAGCAGAGTGTCTGCCTGAAAGGCTTCTCTCAGATTTCAAACCATAGAAAACATCCCAGCTCAGTTAGTTATCTGAAGGATCACAGCTTTGTGAGCTTTGTTGGTTTAATAGTTCATGTATCTTAGCATTCTTTCCATTCTTATTTTCCAGTTGTAGAGATGTCTTTTCTTATCGTGACTAAAAAGCCTTTAACCATATTTACAAATACATGCTATTTTATTCTGCAGGCTACTGAAAACTTATTTTTAAGCCCACAAGCAACTGGTGCCGAGAGATGTTGGAGAAAAAGACTGGTTTATTCTAACCTCAATGCTTTTAAAATGTTGCAGTCAGCTACCTGTCCAGGTGCCACCTCCGCTCCCTGCCTTCAGATGCTGCTGGTCCTGGTTCTAAGACAGCAGAAATTTCTGGTTTTAGGAAAACTACATAGACACATACAGAAAATATCAACTATCTTCACCTCCTTCCTGCAGGACTGTTACAGCCAAAATACAATTAAAAAAGCCTATCAAAGAGTACCCTCAAATTTTGAGGAAACTCAAATGAAAGGGAATGAGATTCTACATGAAAAATTCTTGTTTCCACATTTTTAATTAGGAGTAAATGCTGTACATGGGCAGTGCATGTACTGTTATTATTTGGAGATTTCCTCAGATGAAATTCAGGAATATTTCACTCACTGCTTTCTTAATATAGACACTCATTTTACAGTTTCAAGATTCACTCTCATTTATGTTTTTTCACTTAGTGAGGACAGGAACTTGGTCACTGTAGTAAAGCATCTGTTTTGATACCATACAACCACTAAACCTAAAAATCCAAACCATTATATTTGTACAGGCCTCTTGGGTGATTAATATTTTACTTACCAGAATGCAAAAAGTAATTCCCCCATTGCTCACACTGATGATACACCTCGCACTGTGCAATTTCATTTTCATGATGAGGAAACGCAAGATCTATTCCACCGGTATGGATGTCCAGCTGCTTTCCAAACACTGCACTGTAACAATATTTTCCTGATCAGCAAGCAGAACACTACAAAAGCTTTTTGTAAAAAGAAATACAGAAAAGAGTAAGATAAAACAACATACGTTTAAGTGTACAATTTAATGACTACAGTTTTAAAACGTGACTTAAACCAAGACACAGATCTTGGATACCAAAACTGCAGCAGAACTATGGACAGGACAAATATATGCCCACAATTAGTTCTCCTTAGTAGGAGAAATTATTTTTCTAACTTAAAGAATGGCAAGCAGGACATCTGCTTTCCTTGTTCTGTTACAGTTTCAGTATCAGACAGCTGCTTTCATCTGCAAACCTAACAATTCCAAAGAGATGGACATTTCTGTAAATTTGGTATTACTTTTCTTCGTCTTGTACCTCTTCTGTAAGAATTCAGGCAATACTGTTCACAGACATAATAGAAAATGCTTACTCCTATATTGTTATAATGTCAGAAGAAAGTGTCAGTGCCTCTGATCTCCCAAGGACACTCCTCATCTCAACAGCACTGATGCATCAGTGCAGGTCACCCATGGGCTTGCATGCCACAGGCCTCTGCAAATACAGGTGGCTGGAAGTAATATATTCAGGCAGCAGTAGGACAGACCTAGAAGCTTTCTGGTTAAACACAAGGAGTCAAGGCTGCAGTAGGACAGACCTAGATGCTTTCTGGTTAAACACCAGGAGTCAAGGCTGCTACATTCTGCCCACTGCTCCAGTAAGTCCCTGCTAGGTCATGCTGGGTAAGTTAATAACTTCATTTTGCCCATCTGTTAAACAAAGACAACACTTACCTGCTCACAGGTAGGTAAATCAATGCTAACTGCCCAGAAACCAGTGACACTCAAGCTGGGTCTACACAAGCAGAAAATAAAAGGCAAGCCCCACACACATGTGCACCTGTGTGTACAGACACATAGTCTTCCCATACGTCACATTAAGATATTGCTCCTGGTAGCTCGCTAGCTATTAATACTTCTATCCCTTCTTGGGACAAAACACTCTGGCTCACAATGGCTCTGAAGAAGCTGTTGGGGCACAGGAAGAAAAGGAAATGAGGAGAAGAGAGGAGGGAACAAAGGCCGGCTGCTGCCATTTCCCAAGCTTGTGCCTCTCCACTTCTTCCCGTTAGCTCCAAAAGCAACTTCAGCTTCAGCATAGATCTTCCCAGGTGTGGCCCCAGCTCATGCCTTCCTTTGTGCCATCTACAGGGAAGCACAGGTCACTTGCTCTTCTCTCCAACAAAACCATTAAAAGCTGGAAAGAGGAGAGAGATGGATCTGCAAAACACAGAAGGCAAGAGGAGCACCCTGTCTCCCCAGAAACTCCAGAGAGGAGATCAGACCTAAGTCACAGCAGGTGGTTCCCTCCTCCAGGGCTGAATTAGAGACCAGTGCCCTTCTCATTCACCTTCACCAGGCATACTTCAAAGACTTTTCAAAACTAGTTCACCTAGCTTAAAGTGTTTTGAGATCTTTGGTGAAACAGACAGAAAATAGGTACTGCTTAAAATGGGCCTTGGACAGCTGACTGGGACAGCAAAATGTTTTAGGTAATTTACCAAAATAAGCTCCCTGTTTTTCACAGTCCAGGATTATTAACACTTATCTCTGAATGGGTCAACTCTTATTTACACGGCAGGAGCCTCAGCCAGCAGCAGTAACATAATTTCTTACAGAAAGAAATGCAGACTATAAACAGCACTGCATTAGCAGATAGGCCATTTTGTAATTGCCATTTCACCTGTGCACTTCTGTCACAGGTTGCACTTCAAATACGTTATGGTTTTGTGCACTTCAGTTGCTTTAAGAAGTGTTTCACAATGCCGAAACTATTTACAGACAGAAAATCACCCTTATTAATGCTTTTCATAATCAGGTAGTAATGACTAACCACCCAGGTGCACCAGCAAAACACAAAAAGATAAGCCTAAAGCACCCGTTCCATCTACTTTCAGCTTGAGTTGAAAAGTTAAACAGGGCCAGATCTAAATAATTTGTTATTAGCTTCCAAAAAAAGATCTGATACTAATGCAAAACTAAGTACCACTATCAATCTTCAAGGACAGAAGATTCAGAGTCTCTTTTTTAAAATACACAAATTAATAGGTCATAAGGCAAGACAGTGCAGGACAAAGTACTACCATCTTGTAGAGAAAATAAAAGTCCAAAGTAAGAGTAAATTAATTTAAACCAACTAGAAGCAAAACACTACTACACTTCACATCATGCCCACAGAATATACTGCCACAGAGAAATCAGAATATTTGATACTGTGGCTGACTTGTAAAAAAAGCTGAATAACGCTTAAATGATTAGCATGAACATCCACAGCTGCTGTTAAGTAAGACAAGGCCAGGAAGATCTCATACGCTTGCTGGAGGCAGGATGGAATCCCATACCCTGTCCTCCTGACACAGCACTACCTGGTGAACTAGGTCTGATGGAGACTGCAAGAAGTGGGAGTCAAATGAAAGATATAATATAACTTCCACTAAAACTTTAGTTACTCAGTTCAAGTTAAAAATGCTTGCTAATCAACTGTGTGATCCTGCACAGCATATTTTAAATACCCAAGTCTGTCTCAAGAAAAGGCGCCAAAACGTGGCAAGACAGCTACACCATTAAGGTGGAGCAGAGTCCATTTGGGTCACAAGTGACACCCCAAATCACAAAGTATTCACGTTAAAACTGATGCTTTCTACTGACCAGAAAAAACATTTTCAGTACTGCTGCTGCCATTGTACTGTGACTGAAAACAAAAAACAGCTCTAGATTTAAAATCCAAGAAATATGACCTTGATATTGTAGAACACTCAATGTGCCATCCAGGTCTTCCTTTTCCCCAGGGAGAAGTCCAAGATAACTCTTGAGGTTTGGCAGCCTTCCACAGGGCAAAATCTTTACCATGACGTTTATCAGTATCAACTGCCAAGAATAAGTGATTTGTTAATGGGATTATGTCTCAAAGAAAAAAAAAATAAAAAAATCAGCAAATGAAAACAAGTGGAAATGTGTCTTTAGTGAACAACTTGGGTTTTAATCTCTCACTCAACTTCTCTTCCTGCAACTTTCCTCCCTTTCCCCTTAATACAGGGCTTCCAGTTTCTCAGTCAAGCGTTTGAGAGAAATAATATGCTGAATTAGATTTCTGCAGGCTAAAAAGATGAATTCAAGATTCTTTAATACATCCTATGCTTTCAGTCCTTTTGGCCTTCTCTGGTTTCACATCATTCATTTGTTATCAGCCAGTTTCCCAGGACAAACAGATTGGCACTGCAGCAGAAAAGATAGCAAAAACAACCCAAATAAAACCCAAGAACAAACCCCACAATTTTTCTCTGGGACACCAACAGTTTCTGGTTCAGATTCTATAAAACCAAGAAGAGCACAGAGATGAGAATCAAAACTATTCTTGGACACTAGTAGCCTTCCACTACCATTTTCACCAATGGCTTCTCTACAAAGGTCTCCTCCCCAGCTGTATTTGTTGCTTCCTTCACTACACAGCCAAGGATGCAGTCCTCTCTGCCACAGTACCACAAAGGACGGTTCATCTCTGCTGGCCCCTAACCCCAGGTAGGAGCCAAAGAACTGGGTTCTGGACTCCACATTTTTTTGCTGACAAATACATGACCTTGTATTTGACTGATGCAGAAAAATATACCTATTTGGCTTGAAGATCCAGCTTGGCAAGCAACTCATGCTGTCTTAAGTTCTCTTATTTAACGCTGCTCATCTGTTTTATCAGCAGTTGATGCTAGATTTACTTCTTTCCTCTACTTATTTCAGATCGTTAACAAAACCACAGTGTATTACTGGGTCTGAACGAATCCCTAGAGCGTTCCAGAGTCAACACATTTTAATGATGATTCACAGTTATTTTTGGAGATCTATTACATGGGTCATTTTTCTTGAGCCATTATGCTTGTATTTTATTGATATACAAAGTCAGGTTTTATTCGGAACGTCATGCAATATTAAGGGAAGCACATTATAAAAATCCATTACACCTGCTTCATCATTCAAAATTGATGAGAAATAAAGGGACAGAAATATAACCCTAGTTTTATCCACTGAATTTTCATCTTGGTTCTTTCACTAGTTTGCCAAGCTCTGGCTAACCAGTATCTGTTAACTCCATCCCTCTTTTGCCTTTTCTTTTCGCGTACTGCTACAAAAAGCACTCTTCATCATCTAGGTTATAAGCAAAGCAATAGTCAAAATATCTAGAAATAACAGTAAATTTAGTTGTGACTTGAGGGGAAAGAGGGTAAAACACAGAATCGGTCACAGTTGAAGCCAGAAGGCACCTCGAGATTGTCTAGTTCAACCCCCTCAGGGGTCAGCTGCCCAGGGAAGCATCCAGTTGCGTTTTGATATCTCCCAGGACAGAGAATCCATAGCCTCTGTGGGTAACATGTTCTTGTGTTAACCATCCTCAGAGTGAAAAGGGGTTTTATTAGGTTTAACTAAAACTTCCTGTGTTTCAAGGTTGTAACCGTTGCTGCTTGTCCTGTCACCAAGCAGACCCTGACACCATCTTCTTTACTCTCCCATCAGCTATTTGTACATATGGGTAAGAAGATGCCTTTCCTTCTCCAGGCTGAGCAATCCCAACTCTTTCAGCTTTTCCTCATATGAAACATGCTCCAGTACCTCCATCATACTCATGGCCCTCTGCTGGGCTCTCTCCAGTATGTCCGTGTTGCACTGGGGAGACCAGCTCCAGACCTAGCACTCCAGGCATGTCTCACCAGTGCTGAGCAGAGAAGGAAGATTACCTCCCTTGACCTGCTGGCAATGCTCTTCCCAGTACAGCCCAGGAGGCTGTTGGCTGCCTTTCCAGTCAGTAACTGCCTCTAAATAACTGTCGACAAAATGCATTCCCTCCGCGAGCTGTAATGCTGAAACAACTCCAGAGTGGAACTGAGAGAAATTTCTGGCTGCAATTCACCTGAGCATCAGCCTGCCAGGCATTTTCAGTAATTGCAAACAGATTTTTTCAATGAAGAAATATTGAACTTCAGCATACAAAAGGACACAGGAGACCCGCAAATTCTCCAATGCAGAGACCTGATCAGACCCAACTTACAGAAACTACAAAGAGGCTCAGCAATCCTGCTCAGCAGCTGGATAACTGCATCAAAAAACATGCAGCCCAGGGTACAGGCATGCTCTAGCACAGCCTATCAAGGGATTGCTCACCCTCACACAAATAGGCCGCTTTGCAGTAGTCTGGTGGAAAGTAATGAAAGAAGCAAATCCATCCAGTTAGCATGTATCAGAGGAGTGCAACTGCCCAAACAGTAACATGGTAGATGAAGTTTCCCTGCATTTAGCCTTGACTATCTCACTGCTGGCTAATGCAATGGCAGAGACCACCACCTCACTATGAAGACTGTATGTACCATTCCTATATATTTAAATAAAATAGATTAAGAATCTTAATTGCTCTAAGGTACCAGAACAAAGGTATAGAGGGAACCAAGTATGAAGAGAGACCACCGAATTTCTTCTTGCACTGGCAACAGTGAATCCCTCAATTAATAATTATGAAAGCAATGTAGTCTTAATTAACCAAATTGTTGGCTATATACAACAGCTTAAAAAACTGCTTCACACTGTTGAATTAATATTTACACCCAGATACATCACGAGTTAAAATACTGCATTAATACAAACAAGTTGGTGCCCTGAACTTACCTGATTCATCTCGGGTATCAGGATGAATAGTAGTTAATACTCCGTATCTTTTTCCCAAAGACTTAACATCAAAATAAACATTGCCTAATAGAAAAGAAATATTTGGTTTTATTGTAAAGATAGGACACATTCATGATGAGGAGATAACACTTCCCTGAAAGCAAAACAAGATGCCCTTCAACCCCCATTTTAAATTCTGATTTAGAAATTTAGAAATACTGCAAAAGTAGTAGCAGCTGTTTCCACGTTACCAGCTTTTCAGTAGCCTCACTGCATGTGCTCATTCTGCACATAGGATAACTTTGTATTCTGGAGATCTCCCCAGGTTCTTCACTGCCTATGCAGCACAATCAGCAATTCCCTTCCTGACTGCAGAACAGCCTACTGCTGCTCCAGTTATAATGCACTCGAATCTTTCTATAACCACCAGCTCTGCTAAAAAAAAAAAATAATAATAAAAAAAAAAAATCCATACATTGTGCTTTGCAAGCACATCTTTTACAGCACATAGGAGATACCCACCTCTTGTTCAGAACTAAGAGGGTCCCCCAGCTCTCTTGTACAAGTCAGGCCAGAGCTTCCCCACAGGAGCTTAGATAGCAGTTCATTACAGTAAACAATTATATTAAGTAATGAGCTACATTTAACATAGAAATTGAGTAATAGTTGTTCTGCCCACTCATGTCATCACAAATGAGTTGCTCACACCCTGTCTGTTAATCAACATAAAGAAAGCCTGGCAAAGGGTATCTCATCTGATCCCCAAACAGGATTACTATGAGCGCTGATCTCCTGTACATGTGCTGAACAAGGAGTTGCCTTGCTGTAAGTCTTACCTTGTGAGGTTGCGTAAGCTTGTCCACTAGCAATTATTGCTTTTATAAAGGAAATTATCTGAGGAATATTGTCAGTCACTCTCATATATACTGTAGGAGGAAGGACCTTAAACAAAGAAAAAGTAACATCTCATTAGCCTGTATAAAACACACTGCTGAAAAGTCCCTTCACTCTAAGAAGAAAGCTTTAAATAACATTCTCCTCAATTTTATCTTAAAAAAAAAAAAAAAGAGGTGTGTCAAAAAAATCCACTCATTTTTCCTCCCAGTGTCTTACTCCCTGCTTCTGACAAGCATTCTGGACTGGACAAGAAGCAAAGTCACCTGAAGTCAGTGAAAGAATATTTGATGTTTCCCATGCTTTAGATCAGTCTATTTGTGCATTATAATAAATATGCATTATCCGTGTACCAAGGCTCTATTGCATGGGGGAAAAAAAAAAAAATCTGTGTTCTTAAAGAAATTTAGCTTGTTCATACTAAAGCTAGGATTTGCTTCCCCAATTTCCTTACTCAAAACGTGTGCAATATCTTTCCAGAAGAATGAAAAAATAAATCAGTACTCAGTTTCCAAGCAACGCTTCACCACACAAGCAATCTTTTTTTTTTTCAGATCTAACTGTCAAAATGAGATTCTTTACCAAAATAATTGCTTAAAAATGGTCTTAAATTTAGAATCTTGATTATCTGTACCTTTAAGGCAGCCATATCTTGTTTAAAGTCTTCTTCATAAATACGAGCAAGAGCTACTGGCGATATATTCATCTGAAAAAGAGTGAAGCAGATTAGTAAATCATAAATCAAAGTAATAATATAAAATATTGCAATCTTTTATCAGACAGTTAATAGCTAATTGGAAGACTTGGAGCCCCCAAGGTAAAGAGTCAGAAAGACTTATTAATCTCACATTCATGGGGAGGAGACATAAGTTATAAATAACTTAACAGTAGTACTTCATTTACGCTTCTGAATTGCCAAGATATTAATACATATCTTTTAAGACAAAGCAACCAAAGATTAAAATAATAAACTCCTTCCCTCTCATTATTTTCCTCTTGAGAGGGTCTTCCATTTCCAGTGACAAGATACACCACAGTACACGGGACATGAAATTCATTCAACTTATTGGCAGGGGACACTGATACTACCTACATGTCAGAAAGACAGATCAGAGACTTGCAGAATGAGACAGGATATTAATTTTCAGTGATTAAGAAAAATAAGCTATTTCAGCTGATCATGGTTACTCATAGATCTCAGTTCAATCAGGGAAAATGAACTGAAAGTCAGTCCCACACTTTGTTGAGTGTAGTATTTCTCAAGCACCTTCTCCACATTTCTCATTCATGGGGTGATGGACAGAAACAAGGATTCTCACAGAGGTATCAAGAAAGCACAACTAGAAAGGAAAGTGACAACTTGCACATGACAAGATACTTGTTCTCAAATATTCAGAAAATGACAGGACTTGAAAGATGCATGGCAGCAAAACCTGTCCTAGCAAGCAAAAGCATGATATCACAGTGTTTCAAATGGGAGCTTTTACATCTTCTCTGACGAGAACCTACAGGGGAGAAGACAATATACTGTCAGTCTCTCCAGCTTGCAGATAACTGAATCATTAACAAAATAAATCCAGTTTCATCAATTCCAACTCATTACTGGAGTATCTTTAAGGGGTCTGGTTTTCAGAGCACAGCTGCGTACCACTATTTGGACAAGCTCCTAGACAAGGAAGGAATTCTGGTGAAGACAGACCAGATGCTTTTCCAGAAATGTAGCAACGAAGATGCTCAGCACTGAGAAATGAAGGCATGTTTCTGCCTACAGACCAGAAAGAGGGCTCTTCCAGACCCCAGTGACCACACTCACCTCCCTATACAGCTCAGCTGCTTCTTCAAACAACAGAAACACAAAGGTACCCAAAAGAGGAAGATGGGGAAATTCCTCACATCCAGATGAATGTTCAAAACATAAAGAGACTTATCTCTCTCTCTCAAAGGACCACCAAGGACATGCTCATCATAGACTAGATGCCCAACTTCCAGGTTTTCTCTAAATGAATCCCACCAGACGACCAGAGGATGGAAAACAAGCTTGGGCATGTTGATCCTACCACTGTAATGCTTCAGGTACTGGAGGTCCCAACAACCAAATCAGGCTACTGATGTAGAGGCCTTGGCCATCCAAACAAAACACGCAGAGCAGGCATTTCAAAAAGTCATTAAAAAAGCCGTTAAAAAACTACTTCACAGAAACAAAGAATGCAGTAAATGAATACAAATTATTTTAAAACATCATGTCATTTTCCCCTCCTCAAACATGAAATCTCCATAATGTTCTGACAACAAGGATAAATTTTAAAATGCACACATACAGATTTGAAATGCCTGGGTTTTCAAGGGGGGTTTTGGGCTGGGGTTTTTGTGTTTGTTTTTTTGGGGTTTTCGTGGAGGTTTTTTTTGGTTTTTTTTTTTTTGTTTTTTTTTTTTTAAGATGGCCTATTGCCTTAGAAAACTGCAAGTAAATGGACTAAGGGGACACACACGTATTTCCACAGGAGCAGCGTGCTAGCATTCATTTGAATGCAGTGCCCTGCGTTTAACTGCAATAGTAACTGTTTACTTAAAGATTAAATAAAAGTGACAGCTGTCAAATTCTCTGGCTCCAAGAAACTAGTTTAAAGCTTGCAACTGCAATTTGATCCAACACATTCACTTACGATCCAGAAGACATGTTAGATATAAACACAAACCAAAAAAACTCAAAATGTACAATGAAACTATGTTCTTAGTGTTTCAAGGTCCAGAAAGCATTAAAAAAAAAAAGCAAAGAAGAAAATAATTAGAATACTCATTCATCAAGCTCAGCTGCTAAAAAACATCTGATTAAAACCCAACTGAGAACCACTTACAGCCCCAGTCTTATCAAGATCTACCCCTCCACTTAATGTCAACTTTCATGTAGGTGACTAACTTGGACAAGACAGATAAAGCTTTCCATGGCGCTGACGTTGCAGCTAGATGGTGCTCGGCACCTTTCAGGAACCGCCCTCAGCCTCACGTGTGGTAATGCTGTATATACTGCCTTTAATGACTGACAGCACACAGCACTTCTCCAGAACTCAGTCAGAAGCCTCTTGGCTGCTAAGTTGGTTTTGGGATAAGATACCCTCCTCTCTGCTGAGGATTCACACTGGCTTTTTGTTCCCTGCTGGCCTCCTGGGCAGAGGGCAAGGGCAGGAGGATCCTGGCCATGGGTAGTGTAACATAGCCTTCCCTGTCTCTCCTCCTCACCCATTTACCTCCACGCAGCTCTTGACTCTGAGCACTCCAAACTCCCAGCCCCATTACAGCCATGTTAGGGGACCAGGAATCTCAACATCTATTATCTACTAATTAAAACCAACAAAACTCAGCCAAAACATCCAAACCCAGGTTAATTCTCCTATGTAAGTAGCTGTAGAAAATACCAACATTTGGGTAAAAGACTGCAGCAAGCACCTACCTCACTGGCTCTTTTTATTATCTTGTCATCTATGTCTGTGATCCCCATCACCATGATAACTTCAATTCCAAAAAACCTAGTCATTATCCTTCGAAGTATATCAAACCTAACATAGGAGCTGGAAAAGAAAAAACATGAGCTTTTAAACATGCAGTAGTAAGAAACTTAAACAAAAATAACTAACAGTACTAACAGCCACAGGGAAAATCTAAATACCCCAACACTTGCAATGAAATAGGTCTTCAGTGCATAAAGTGCTTTTGCAAAACCAGTTACTACCTGTACAAAAGTCAAGCAAATTTCCCTTGAACTGGCCTACCCTCTTCTGGCATTAGTGACACATTACATCAAATTTTCCAAGTATTTTCTTTTGTTGCATCTCTTTATTCAAGCACTGAAGTGCATCAGAAACTATGTGTGAGACAGGAGACTCTCTCAAAGCAAACAGTACAAAGTAAGATACACAGATCAGATATTCCTGAAATACATCCCTCAGGCTTTGTAAATTCTAACCAGTTTTCAAAAGCCACAGGGCAGGAGAAAAGGGAGAAATAAAACAGGGTTCAAACGAACTTTGCTTAGGGTTGAATAAAAACTAATGCTACCAAACACCAATAACCTATTTCATTCACGCACTACCACGTTTTTTCTGATAGCTACAAAGAGCTGTTCTGCGAGTTGGGTTTTTTTATTTACACTCAAGAATAAATTCTCAAAATTATTTAGGCTCTTTGTCACAAACCAGAGTATTTCATGCTGATAGACTGACGCACCTACAAGCTGCACGGGGCTGTGGCAGCCCCATTTGCCACTCACAGACTCTCCACTTGTAATTCTCAAAACATGCTTTGACTGAATATAACCCAATTATTAGGTGTGGTATTAGAAGGTGACTTAGAGGCTCTGAGTCTGCCCTGCAAGGTGAGGGGAATCCTCATCCTGTGCTGGCTTTGGAGAAAACAGAGCCCAAAAGGAGACTCACAGACCTACAGGTTCCCATCTTGCCACATGAACTGCAATCCCCCATGGCTGTCAGAGCAAAGTGCAAGCAAATATGGGAAATGGATCTGCATCCTCCCCCGCTAGCTGCAATATCTAGGTGGCATTAAGGTTCAGATTTATGGATGTCTAAAATCTTGATGAAGAAAAATACTTCTTGCTGTTGCTGTCTGCACTATGCCCATGTTGACAAAGGCTTTCTGAAAGCCTTGCTGCCAGGGAGATAGTTTTTAGTGAATACCAGCTCACTGGTAGTAAGGTTCACGTAATGTGGTGACACAATTCCATTAGAATATTAAATTGGTCTTTGGACCCTGTTCAGAGGAACAATGCCAGCATCAAAAGCTTGATATGAGATTTAACAGCCCTGCAGTCGTAGTTCTCAGAGCAGACACAAATTTCACGTTGTTCCCCCTCCTCTGATCTTCTAACTGAATTGATGGAACAAACACTGGAAGAGCCAGAGCAGATCTCCTAACACCTCAGAAAGCAGGGTGCTTACCACTGCAGGAGTGAAAAGAAAAAAACAGTCAGAATCAGGAGAGTAGCAGAGCAGGCACAAGGGACTCAGTGAAACCTCCTCTCATGCTTGGTTTTATTCTTATTTCTGAGCATTCAGCCAGAAACTTGGATGCCAACCAGTCTGCAGCTCATACCAGCATGATCAAAGCCAGTGTCAGAACTGAGGGAAAAGGTGGCACTATCTGCCAGTCTGATTTGTTTTCTTTACACAGAGTAAGTTTTAGATACTGTATCAAGGCACAGAGGAAGGAAGAAAAATAATGTCATTATTTTCAAAGTCTTCTTAAGGATCTCAAGCTCATCCCCATGATTCGCTTCTGCATTATTACCTGCTGTGTTTGTTGTGTATGCCACAAGTCAAATGTAAAAAGAAGGGGAAAAAAAAGGAATTCTAATGATAAGCTAACATGCTGCAAGAATGTGACCTTTTTTTACAAGAGTGGCACTGTAGCAACAGCCATCATTCCATTTGACTTCATGCTCTTTCCCAGTGCATTTCCTGGTCAGTAGACCCCCCATCAGCAGCACACAATCCAGCTATGCCTACCAAAGCTCCACAGCTGGACCTAGCTACTGGGAAAAAATATACAATTTTTTAAAAAACAATTATAAAATCAAGAGTGCTCCACCATCCTGAACAAATCAGCTGAGCAACAGAATGTCAACACTGACACGTGCAAGACCACAGATGCTGGGAAGGAAAAGCCAACTCCTCACAGGCTGGGGGGCTTAACTGATCAGAAGAGAGAGGAAAGTTTTCAGCGCAGGCTTCTTGCCACACAACAGCGTTACAGGAACAACACGTGAAGGCGCCAAAGAGGCGGCAGAAAAAAAAAAAAATCTAACACAGCTACTTTTCTATATTCATGATACCCCACTCCAAAGGCAATATTTGGCCTTAACTACTCTTTCTTAAATCAGCAAGTGAAGAGGTGAAACCCAGGTGGCAGACGTTCAGCAAACCTCCACATCAGGAAAGCCTGCAATTGAAATGGCAAGCAAGGCCTTCCTACTCCCCTCCTTTAATCAAAAGAGCCTGAAGGCAAGAGAACAAGGAGAACCACTGACAGAAACAGACATTCAAAAACCACAGAGAACTGCAAGACCAAAAAGTTAAATCCTCCACCTCTGTAAACACTATGGACAGGAGCACTTCTGCAATTCCCTCCCCTGTTGTATCGTGTCAGGGAAGACAGGTCCTATCGTACTAGAGAACCTCAACTGAGTGATGAAGAAAATGAATTTATTAGCATCTTTATGCAGTTGCTCTCAAGTGATGATTTTAAATTGCAATTATTTCAAGGCAAACTGTTAACATAGCCTGTATTACAAAACTGTAGATTTAAATACACAAATTGCTATGATGTTTTAAAGTTCCTTGAAGGTACTAAGTACAAACAAAATAATTCAAGATATCGTTTTCTTGATTTTTAGATCACCAGTAAAAAGCTAGGTTAATTTTCTGATAAGACTGTACAAAAGCAAGGAGGAAGACGACACAGCCACGTACACACAACAGTATAGCAGCATTTCAAGAGAGGTCACCAACAGTATTTTTACATAATTGGTATTTTAAAGCTTCCCTTTTACAGAAAGAAAGACCAGTAGCACAGTACTGCGACAGCTCAACACTGAGCAAAATTCAACATGAGTTTCTGAATGAAGCCGAGACAGGACCAGAAGCTGTGAAATGCCCTACATTAAACGGGAATTACTCAAAAACACAGCACCTGATCTTCACACAGATGGCAATTATCCGAGAAGCCCCTGCTCTTCCAAGGAGCCCAATGCATCTTGCTCTTTTAAGAATTAGGAGACGAATTCAAGAGCAGCTTGAACCCTGCATGTCTCTTCATCAGGTGCATTGTTTTAAAACAACTGGCAGCAACCTTCCCCGGTGTATTGAGTACTCTTCCAAAGTTACTTATAACAGAGTTGGTTTATTACTGTAATTATCCTAATGACCTGTGAAGAAAATACTGTGCTGTTTTGGGATTTTTTGCTTTAAACCCAGTAAGCCACTGAACTGTCATTATATAAAAAGGCCTTTAGACTACCTGGGCTGAGATTTAAGAACAGATTCTTTTTAATAGTCAACCCTGAACAGCTTTTCCTTGGTGTTGGCACTGCATCCAAACCAAATTCGATGCAAAGCTATCGACTCACACGGACAGGAAGCTCCGCTCCAAGACCCCAACTCCTCTGCACCGAGAGGTCACGTTATGCCGATATAGATTTGAAACAACCCGCCCTGCCTAGCAAAACAAGTGCCCGATCTTAATACTTCACACTGGTTTGTCTCTGTCGGGGACGAGTGGCACAGATAACCCCTTCCGCGCTTCCTGAGGCCGAGAGGGGAAAAAAATAAAAATAAACAAACACAAAAAAAACCACAAACAAACAAAACCAACCAAGAAGCAAACGGGATTTTGCCCTTTGCACGGAGCAGGAGGTGAAGAGCCGGCGGCCCCGCAGCGGCTCCCAGAGGGGTCTGTCATCCGGACACACCGGGCCTGTCACCGCCGCCGCCGGGCTCCCACCCGTGACGGGACAAACACACACACACACCTTCCCCCAACCGCCGTGAACCGGGACGCGACTCACCAGGCGTGCCCGAGGTGTGCCTGGTCGTACACGGTCGGCCCGCAGCTGTACCTGCGGAGAGGGGAGCCAAGAC